CTATCATTTCTCTTTTCTCTCTATTCACCCAAATCCAAACCTAAAAAAATACAAATAACACAGCCTCTCATCTACCTTCCCAATGTCGATTCCTCATCGGTGTGCCCTGGCAACAAAAAGGAGAAAAAAAGGGAAGAAAGAGATCCTTCGCCATCAACACCTTCCTTTATCGATGTGCATAACGACGCCCTGCATAGCGCACGACGCTCCCATAGTGTCGTGCCGTGCGTTTGTGATGGTTTCTTCCTCCTCCGATTTGTTTAGCAAGGTGGTTTTGTTGATGGTTGTTGGTGGTTTGCAAATAGTGGTGATTGTTTTGCATTTGCAAATGGTGGTGGTGCAGCTGTCGATGGTGATGAATGAGGTGACGCGATGTTAGGTTGGTGGTGGTATGACAGTGATAGCGAGACGTTCAATTGGTGTCAGTGCTGGTGCCAGTTTTAGTGGTGGACGGGGTAGGGTGAGATGGAGTGAAGAACGTTTGTTACCAATTATTTGGGTGGTTATGACTAATTATTTGGGTGATAGTGACCAATAAATAATATGTGACTAATAAAATGGGTAATTTTGACCAATATATAATATATGACCTAAAAAATGTGTTATTACGACTACATTTGTAATCGTGAGTCATAATTTGTGTCTTTTTGATTGTGGCTTCATACATTTGTGACTATGACCATAATTATGCAACATTTGTGATCGAGAAAATAATGTACGATCAATTAATTTGATAATTTATGATTGACAAATAAGTTGTGTCATATATAATTTGTGATTTGTAACTGTGACGTTCTGCGATTGTGACTAGTATGTAATTGTAATCATGTGTTGTATAATATTGTGACATTGATTTATTTAATCGATAAAATATTTTTAATTATCTATTTAATTAATAAAATTTAAATATGATCTTATTTTTGAAATTTTAAAACAAATTCCTTAGGGGTTGTATTCAATTTAGAATTTTGAATACTTTGATGAACTTTTTGTAAGTGATGATTTATGTGGATTTTTTTAAAGATTTGTATAGAATTAGTGGAAGTATTTTGTAGGCTTATACAAAATTTCATTTAAAAACTTTTATTGACTTTTCTAATTCAAGAGACTTTTAAAGACTTTAATTTAAAATAAAATTCCCGTGAATCTAATACAATATTGTGAAAGTATCATATTCGAGGTGGTAGTTTTCACAATTCCTCTTCCCCTTTCCCACCCCATATAGTAAAAAGATATTTTAAAAAGAATAAAAGTTTAAGACATTAATTAAATAAATAACAATAATAATACATATAAAAAATAAAATTAATATTCTGTATTATTAATATAATATACCTTTAAAGAATAAAAAAATATATATTTAAATTTAATTATAAATTAGTCTATATAAAATTTTATAATTGAATTAAAAGTGTGTATATATATATAAGAAACAAATTTTAAGATTTATTTTAGTACTTTCTACTTAAAAGTTAGTACTATAGAAACTTTTATAAAAATTATTAAAATTTAAATATCCCAAGACGTACAGAGATTTCTAAAAAGTTTTCATTGAATGCACCGTGACTTTTAGAGACTTTTTAAAAGTACATAAAAGTCTCAATTAAATACACTAATAATTTTAGAGAGTCCCCAAAAGTCTACATTGCATGCCCCTTGACTTTTTAAATTTCAAAAAGTCATTAAAGTCTCAATTCAATACACTCCTATTAGGTCTTCAAAAGTCATTAAAATTTGAATACCCCAATACTTATAAAGACTTCTAAAATTTTTAATTGAAT